AAGTACTTGTTTGATATAAATTTTAAGTTAATTAAAATTAATTTTTTGATCATTATTTTACTATTTTAATCATTATTTTTGAATTATTATCTTACAAATAAAATTTACTTTATCTCTAACGATCAAAAAATTAATTATCAAAATCTCTATTAAATAAATAAACACTAAAGATGCTTAACCTTTGATTCGAATTGACAAAAGATTTCATCTGTCTCTCTCTCAATCAATCACCCTTGTTATTACCGCAATAATAAAACTGAAGCCGACCCAAACCGCCAATAACAAATTGCTAATAGGTTGCGTACAAATCTTCCAATCGTGGACCGACAAAATTGATAAGAGCAAGCATGATTAAAATGGAGAATTTCAGGCAAGGTCACACGACTTACATCTCTATTTCACGCTGGTCACTAAGTTCAATTTGTTTCATTTTAATCATTCAACTTATATTTTTATTTCAAGTTGACTCCTGTTTATAACTATTATCAAAACAAACAAGATTCATTGCCAAAACTAACTAACTTTTCAACAACTTGTATCTTTTGAGGCCAAAATTCTTGCATCGACTAGAAATATATTTTTTTCTAAAAATAAAGAAAGTCTTAGTGAATGAAAATCGATCGAATGTTTGGTTTTGAAACACCATTATTCGGTACGAACAATGACCAAATCAGCTAATTAGAAACTAACCATAAAAATGATGCTACATGGACTAACTTTCAAATAGAATGATAATAATTAGCACGAGTCTAGATAACACATACTTAATATGTTCAATTAAATCAATAAGATGATATTACATTTAAGTGAATTTAGCATTTAATTTCATGCAGCTGCCACGTCATAGTGATAAATATCATTATTTTTCCAAATAAATGTAGTTGTACTCTTAAACTTGTGATTATTATTGGGAATGCAATTTATTCCTCTTTGAGCTTAAAGATCACTTCAATCCCTGTTTGACCTTGCTTTTTAAAGTTTTTTTTTTTAAACTCATTTTCAACAATACATTTCATACAATTTATAATTATTATACGTTATCAACAAATTTTTTTAATAATTTTTATCAAAATATACTAAAAATTTGATTTTTTACTAAACCAAGCAAAGATTTAGACATTGTTTGAGCCAAATTCTTCTGAAAAATGCATTTTTCAACAATGTTTTGATATCATTTCAACCACACATTCTTTAATAAAATAATATTACATACAAATTCAAAATTTTTCTTTATTTTTTAACCACACATTTCCCATCAATACATTATTTAAAATTTAATTATTTCTCGAAAAATGGGGCTCAAAGAAGGGCTAATATATTTCGATTGAAAGCACACAACTTAATATATTTCGACTGAAAATTTTATTAATGTTGTGCTTCTTTTGTCGTGAGAAACTATACATATATAATTATTAATCACATTTTGTCATCCGATTCACGAATTATGTTCGTTTTGATTATATTACAGACGAAAACAACGATACAAATTTGATGACCAATACTAAACAAAATTGTAAGTTGGTTGACCTCTAGTGAATCAAAAATCTCAGTGAAAAAGACTGGACCCACACACAGTAAACCCCGGGCGCCTCCTTCATTCCCTCGTCGTTTTACCAAAGCAACCAAACTCCGAACCTGAATTTTTCTCACACGCGGCCAGTAGACGTTGGCTCGGATTCTGACTTGGATGAATTGCGGTGGGCGTCAGAACTATTTATCTTCTTATACCTCTACCAGCAGACTTCCCTTCTCTGTCTCTCTCTCTCTCTGCCTCTCTCCCTTATTTATATACGTGACTGTTCAGATGATCGTTGAATTGAGGTTCGATTTTTGTTCCTTTAATGTTTTAAATCCTCGTTGGCTGCTTGACATATTGAAAAAGTAATTTTTTCTGCTCTCCATGATGTTTTGATATACGAAAAAATTATTCTGTGAAGAAAATAAAGCACGGGATATGGACTGACTATGAAACTGAAAAGTTCTATTATATTTTTTAATTTTACGGGATTTGTTAATTTTTGTCGAGTGAAAAAAAAATCGAGTTCAATTCATGGAAATATTACTTACTATTGGGTTTGAGTTTATGGGTTAAGATAATTTGTTTTTATTGAATAATTTGTTTTTATTGGAGATAGCCTTTTTGGGTATTAGCATTATTTAAATGGAAATCGTTGTGTGGAACTGAAGTTCACATTCACAGGCATTCACTTCGGGAATCTAGTTTCCCAGTAGAGCTTGTTTATAGTAGTAAAAGATTACATCAGTTGTTAACTGTCTTGATTTTCAATCGTTTGAGATGTGGAGTCGAGAATAATGGCTTCTCTAACAATAGTTATGTACCACGCTTAGTTTTTGTGATTAGTAAAGGGCCAACTTCCAGGGATTAATAACCTTGCAAATTTGCAATGAAAAAAATTCAGTGGTGTAAAAGTTGTAAATTTATGCTTGCACTCGCACACAATTTTTACCATCTCGTCCTATACAACATTCAAAGTTCTTCCATGGTGTCTCAAATTCAAAATTGTGTTTTTGCTTGTTAATTTCATATGTAAATCTGAACACATAATTATGTGCATTGTGAACTTGTGATTGATACTCTTATGCATATGAGCTTAAATAGTAGCTGTAATGCTCTATCTCTATATATTTTTTGGTATTTATATGACCACTTTCCATGTTTGACACTATTAATTCATTGCCATAGTCAAAAGAATCGAGTGTGCAAAATAATTTTTGTAGTGCCACCATGTATACCTATTGCATTTATTCCCTTTTGATTAAGTAATATTATGATGCGGCAGTGGCCACATTATTATGGCACGCTTTCTTAGAAGTCCTGGTGGATGGTTTTAATTTGAGTGCATAAAGGTCCAACTATAATTGAGGATGTCATGGCTAATGGCTACAAGATCGGATTGTTTTCTTTTGCAGGGTACAGTTGACAGATATCTGATATTGGTGATTAATGATTCACTCCACTACTTATCTGCATTGTTGATCCGCATAAATTATTATATAGTCCTGAATGGGGGGAGCTTGTTCCAGGAAGCAGGACCAACAGGACAACGAGGATGATCTACACAGACGAGTCTCTGGAAGATATTTTAAAAGTGGGAGCTCAAAATGGCTAAGAACTTCATTTTCTAGAGCATCTACAGACATTAGTCAGGGGATAGGAAGTTGTCCGTCACTTATGGAATTATGCATTTCTAGGATTCGGGAAGTATGTTGTTGGCTTGCATACATGCTCTTCTTAATACCTCTTTTTCTGCAGGAAGAGTAAGAATTACTTCTTGTGTTGATGGGCATTTTTTTTTATCATTGAAGGACATAAACAAATATAGCACCTTCTCTATGTTACCAAGGGATATAAGTCAACAGATTTTTGATGATCTGGTCTGTTCCCAGTGCCTATCTGATTATATACTTGAAGCTTTTCGGGATTGTGCTCTTCAGGTACCTCTTACACTGTTCAAAAGCCTTATGTGGAGTAGGTACTTGGATTGGTATAAGTTTAACGAGGAATCTGTTATTGTTCTTTGCAGGATATTAATCTGGGAGAATACCCAGGATTTAATGACAGTTGGATGGATGTCATCTCTTCACAGGGTTCATCTTTATTATCCGTGGATCTTTCGGGTTCTGATGTTACTGATTCTGGATTGATTAATCTTAAAGATTGCAGAAATCTTCAAGCCTTGAATTTTAATTATTGTGATCAAATTTCAGACCAGGGTCTGAAACAGATCAGCGGTAAAATTTTCTTCCCCAACTACATATCACTAAAGAAGTTTTTAAATACACATTCTTAAATCAAAGCCCCAAAGGTTTAAAAAAATAAAAATACTTAGATGATTTTCTTTTCAAATGATAAATAAAAATAATTGCATATACAATTTTCTAGGATGGCTAGTACTGTTATGAGAGAGAGAGAGTTAGAGAGAGAGAGAGAGAGAGAGAGAGAGAGAGAGAGAGAGAGAGAGAGAGACTTTCAGGTCATTGAAAACTGATGCATGCGATTATTGTTGAACCTTTCAGGTCTTTCAAACCTGACAACTATAAGTTTTAGAAAGAACAACTTGATTACTGATCAAGGAATGCGTTACTTATCTGGCCTAACCAACTTGGTGAAGTTGGACCTGGAGAGATGTCCAAAAATCCATGGAGGGCTTGTTCACCTTGAAGGTATGTTAATTTTAACTCCTGACTAGTGACTTAGAGTATAATAATTCATTGGTTGATTGTATCATTGACCATTTCTTCTTCTTCTTCTTCTTTTTTTTTTTGGTACGAGGAGAGATTCTTTAAACATGAAATGCTCTCAATTTTAAAGAGTTAATCCTTAAAATCATACTCTAAGAGACTTAAATTAATATTTTAATTTAGATAGTTTGGAGAGCCAAACTCACTTTCTATAATTAAATGCATTCAAAATATTTCAATTTTCAATGTAGTAAAATAATAAAATAATATATAGAAAAGGCAGTTAAAATAAAAGATAGAGAAAAATAATAAATATTTTTTGGGAATAGTAAAATAAGTGTTAAATATAAAGAGTTTGTTGAAGTACTTCAAAATTTTAACACTCTAAATTTATAGATGTTCTACAAATGATGGAATATGCTCTTTAAAAATAGAGAGTCTCTTCGAGATGCTCTTAATCTTGTTAATTCCACATTGAGTATAAAGCCTGTCATTTTCTAAGCGGCTTAGGTGGGGATAATACATTATATCAATTAGTGAAAATAATTGCATGCTTCTATAGTTGTTGTTTCTATCGTTGTACATTATGTTTTGTATGCGATAGGTCTTTCAAAGATCGAGTCTCTGAATGTCAATTGCTGCAATTGCATAACTGATGCTGATATGAAGGCTGTCTCAGGTAGTTCATGTTCTCCTATTTATCAGTCCCTCCTGTGAGTATAGAAAAACATTCCAAAAGCGCAAGACACTGTTTACTTCTGTTTTCCATTTATGTAGGAATGTACTTGTATGTTTGATTTGTCCGCATTCAAACGCTTCGTATATATCGTGGACATTTTATTGTCCTCCAAATGGGAGTATGAAGATGTATAAAGGGCCCAAGGCTGAATTTCTTTCCCAAGCTGTGATTTTTATTATTATTTTGCACTTTAGGTCTGATTTTTATTGACATGAATTACTGTGATAAATGCTCACAAAAGGCGATTCTTTGGAGGGACGGGATGCATAGTTATTAAAATCGGACTGACCTGAAACCGGTGAACTGAGCCCTGGTCTGGTCCGGTGATATCCGACTGGTCTTTAAATGTCCAAAATTTTATTAATATGGAGGTCTGATCCCAGGACATCTTGGACACTTGTGAGGAACAAACCTCTAGGTTGTTCCTTTATGTTGTAGTATAGTGAACCTATAATATATATTTATCATTTTCATGTATCTAAGATATATGATTTTTTTTGTAATAAAGTGAACCTATAATATTTATTAATCATTTTCATGTATCTAAAATATATAATTTTTATTAATCACAAACTTTTGATTAATATGATATTTAATATTTTCATTTATCTATAATTATTTATTATTAGAAAATCAACATATATAAAATTTTTAATAAAAAATCATCATATCTAGTTTTTAACTTCTTAGAAAATATTGTTTTAATTTTAATGTATTGTACATGAAAAATTAAAGAAACAATTCGATTTTTTTCATAATAAAAAAGCATGTAAATGATTTAAGGAATTTAAGCCCTTGTTTGTGCCCCATTTTAAAAAAATTAGTAAATGAATTAATATATATATATATATATATATTGTCGAATAGTATTTTGACTGTATTTCAACCACACATTCGTTAATAAAATAATATCACATGCAAATTCAAAACTTTTTTTAACTACACATTTTTCATCAATAAATTATTCAAAAATGTATTTTTTTTACTTTTTTTTTATTATTTTTTTAATAGAATGGGGCTCAATCAAGCCCTAAATAATTATTTTGAAAAATTATAGTTTTTAAACATCAACCTGCCGGTTGGACCAGTGACCCTCCAACACAATCCATGTACTTTTATTGGGTTAAAGATCCATTCTGGTCTCTTTTTCAGGGCTCAGAAGCTTGAAATCGTTACAAATTGCATCTAGTAAAGTTACAGACAATGGCGTGACTTTTCTGAAAGGTAATTCGCTTGAGCTTTATATCAATAATTTGGTATTTTCAAAGCATTTAGAATTGAAACCATTTCTGCCATGTCCAATCGTATAGTAGTTAGAGGCAATTCTCATGTGACTTTAAATGTTTAAAACTTTTGCTGTGTTCTTGTAATAAAAATTTTGCAGACTATTTAAAGTTAGCTATTGGTCAGAAAGATTTGACTATTTCACCATGATGGATGTAGATGAGTTTTCCATTTCCCAATATTTTGTACTTTTCTTGACAACATCAAGTCATAAACTTTTTCCATCTGTCCGATTCATACTCATATACTTGTAGGTCCAGATAACTTATTTGTGAAGAAAGAAGGTTGCACTTTTGTAGCACTAATACCTCAATAGACATTCAGAGGACTAAATTTTCTGATTATTTGTCATGTTCCTTGTAGCTTTGCACAAGCTCACTCTTTTGAACATGGAGGGTTGCCGTGTCACTGCTGCATGCTTGGAGTCACTTTCAGGTTCATCTTATGCTTGGTTTTTATAGTTATGACTATACGATAAAATCCTAGCAAACTGATAGTGGAGAATCTCATGTTCATATTTTGCATGGCTACAATGTATTTGAATAGAGGTTTAGTTTGTTGCTATTGTCGTTTTAATGTTATAAAATCTGATCAAGATGGATCACTTTGATAAAATCAATCAAGAATTTTTACGTTTTGAGTTAAATGAACTTTCAAATTTTTCTGCTATTTTGGGAAGTGTTATGCCACCGTGTTATGGGGCACCTTTGCGATTCCTGTAAAAAGGTGGCCCGTGTGTGGAATGGGAGCTTGTTACACTGTTGCATCACTATTATGTTCAATAGGAATTGTGTAAAGGACACAAGTGAAGAAATGCTTATCAATCTGCAGTTGGATCAAAGCAGCTGCATGCTAGTCGTGATTTATTTGACACAACACTATTAGTGTTGGGGTAGGAGCCGTGGCAATGGGGTGCAGTATACTAACTAGCTTGCTTGTGTGATTACAACTTACAAAAACTAGGCATACCTTATAGACATTAGAAGTCTGACAAAACAAACTGCCTTGTCACAAGTATATACAAGATTGCATGCAAAATCCAACATTTTGACTTCTTAATTTGTCTAGAAACTGTTGAAGAAGTTTGGAGCCTATTAGATGGCCATGAGTGGCATCAAGGGTTCCTTTACACAATGTCATGTGCATCTTCATTATTTTTGTTTCTTTATTTTGATTTCTCTCTCTCTCTCTCTCTGTCTACAGTTCTTGGTGCCTTGCTATATTTGAATCTAAGCAGATGCAATTTGACTAATGATGGTTCTGACAAGTTTTCAAGTGAGTCCTATTCAAGCATCCACTCTAATTATCTCAAGTTCAAAGTCAACCGTTTCCATATTACCATTTATTTGTAATTTTTATAATTAAGTGCTAATACGATATTGAAACTAATTTTTTGCATTTTTTGTTTCACACAGAGCTGCAAAGTCTTAAAGTATTGAACTTGGGATTCAACGACATCTCAGATGCTATTTTGGTTCACCTGAAAGGTGAAATTCTCTCCTAATATGTATCAAAATGGTGAGAGAATTTCAATGGCCCCTCCACACCAACAAGAATAAACCAAGGGAAAAAGGGAGAAAAATAAAGGAGACGTGGAACTTTCTCGTTGTATCTGTAGAAACATTAAGAGGGCTTTTCCCCATCTTTATTTCTTAGTAAATTTTAACAAATGATTGGGGGTCGGTCAGAGATTTTATTACTTAGATAGCTCTCTCAGAATTTCTTTCAAAGCTCACTGCTATTTATTTATTTTCTTCAAAATGGAAAACTTGTTGCTGTATGAAAATTTCACTGGGCTTCCATGATGTTTGTCATTGTCCCCATGAATAGAAGCATTATGTAATCGATTACTTAAGCGAACTAACGATATCATCAAAAATTATTCTCTCAACTTTTATGAAATGGGGAAAGGGGAGGATGAAAAATGGTGTGGAGCTGAAAATAACTGAGAAGTAACCACCCTTTGCCACAGTGACCCCTGGCAGGTTGGGGACAGGGCAGGTTTGGGGGGTGGGATTTCTGGTGGAAGTGTAGAGGTTGTAGACTTTGGTGCTTACACTTTTGGTTCCTTTCTTTTCTTGTAATTCTCTCTCCCCCCTCCTTCTCACATTTATGGCCCGTGTTTAATGTGGGAAGTAGGGGTTGTGTTTAGGTGTGGGGAACAACAAGCTACTCTATTTTGTAACAATATTGTTTCTGCTGTTGATTTCCATCTAAAGTTATGTATTTGTTGGTTTTTGCACTTCCGCACATAGTTTAGTACTTAAGTATGATATCTGAAGTTGGGTGTAAGGAAATTTATATTCGAGTTAGGTAATTCCGTTATGCATGCATTTCAGGTTTAACAAATTTGGAGAGCTTAAACCTGGATTCTTGCAGGATTAGTGATGAAGGGATGATTAATCTTGCAGGTTATTCTTATTCTATATTTTACTGAGTAAATTGTGATACTTCCTATTCTCTGGATTTGTGGAAATAGACGATAGAATTTGATGCAGCTGCACTTTGATATATGATCACTTGCATTTTTATTTTTTTTTATATGAACCCAATTATTATTGTTTTTGATGAATAAATTCACCTGAAGTCTATGGCTCCAGCTCGGTCTTGTATTTCAGCGATAAAATTGGGAAGGAATTTTGAAACAAAATTTTCATCTCCCTCTAGATAAAAATCGAATATAAAGGATTGAGATATTTAAGCGTCACATAAGCTAAAAAATTAAATTTATAAATTGAATCTCTTAGTTTTATTTCTCTCAATTTATTTTGCACTGTTCTTGAGGTCTAAAAGCAAAGTAAGGGTTCTTACTGGAATATTGACTTTTGTCTTTAACTTGTTATGATGATTTCATTTAGTTTCTTATTTATTTCTCTCCTCTACAACTTGTCAAACTGCTGTCCTCCCTGTTTAACATTTGTCTTCGACTTTTTCTTCTCTTTTGGCATATGAGATTCAGGTCTACATCGTCTGAAATCCTTGGTGTTGTCTGATACTGGAGTTGGAAGCGGTGGACTGCACCATCTCTCTGGTTAGGCACAAGTCTCTCACTTATTATAAGAACTGTGTATAAAGAGGCGTAGCTATTGCAAATATAAGCCCTTGTTTGGGCTCAATTAAAATCAAATTTTGGGGAAAATGTAGTTTGGAATAGTGATTCTTGGAGAATGTGTGGTTGAAAAAGAAGAAAAAGTTTTGGATTTACGTGTAATATTATTTTATTGGATAATGTGTGGTTGAAAGGAAAGAGAGAAATCCATTTTGAATAAAATGGAGCAGAAATAGGGGCTAAATAAGGTTTAGTTACGAGGTTCTTCCTTCCTGGAGATTGGTGAATTTTCAAAGAGAAGTATCGTTGTTCAGTTTAGCTTAAATGATTCCATTTAGCTCCATGAAATGGTTCAATATAGAATGATAAGCAGGTACTCAATCAGTAATTTTTAAAAATCTGTTGAAATTTTGAACACTAGTTTCTTTCACGTGCACCAAAATTGTGTATGATTGGGTAGCATACACGTGATTGTTACATCATAAGTTTGAATTAAAATTCAATTTGATCATCTATTTGTTTTAATCTTGTAGGTTTAGTTAATCTGGAGAGTTTGAATCTGTCCTTCACTGACGTCACTGATGGTGGTTTAAGAAAGTTGTCTGGTTTATCATCTCTCAAATCTCTCAACTTAGACGCTCGTCAAATTACAGATATTGGCCTTGCTGCTCTTACAAGTAAGCATCTTTCAGATGGTTATTATCATGATGTATCTGTAAGCGTTTATGTGAGTTTCAGATCCTCGATTCAGTTAATAATAGAACAAAAAGGTGTTGAATATATAAATATTATCATTATTCTTTATTCAGTGATACAAAGGAGCAATCATATGCTGTAGCTAGTGGAGTACCAGGAAAAAAATGTTTTTGTTATTTTTCCTTCTTTCTGTGAAAAAGCTAGCTTTTCCCTAGTTTTAGGTAATGTTTTGCAGATGCTAAAACCTATTTTGTGTCTTAACTATAATAAGTTTTCAGTTAGCGAAAATAAGTTTTGTTTGAAACCAAGTAACGGTAGAGAAAAAATGACAAATTTTGTATAGTCAACGGTATGGGTCCACAACAATTTCTTGTAATTTTCATCAATAAAATAAAATAAAATAATTATTCGCATTTCATCTTTTGCATTATGTTGTGAGACACGAAATATTACTCACACCAGAAACATGTGAAATGACAGTTTAAATCAAGATTAACTCATTCTTGAACTAACTAACCTGGTTTGGTTCACTCTTGAACTGAACTGAAAACAAGAAATTTTGCTTTGCTAAATTTCTTACACTCTTCCTTTTACATGGTGTTACTGTTGCCAGCATCAATCATTCTTTTTATTTATTCTTAATTTCCAAATTCTCCTCTGTTGCAGATTTGACTGGGTTAACTCATTTGGATCTATTTGGAGCACGGATTACTGATTCTGGAACTAATTATTTGCGATGTATGCTAAGAACTCACCTCAATATACTCTATATGTAGTACCTCCTTGATGTGAAGTACCTGAAAGAAATGGATTTGTGATTTATTAGAGATGATTAATCCCCGTTAACGAGAACTTTTGCAGTCTCAGACCCTTCTCTCCTCAAAACCCTGCTTCCCTTCAGATGCCAAAATACGAAAAACAAGTAAACAAAACTGAGAAAGCCGCGTATCTTTACTAGTTGGGGAATCCATTTCTCAAATTAACTCCCCAACTGTAAAAAAGTATTTCTGTATTTGTAAAACCATAACTATACAAGAGGTTGGAGAAGCTTGCCTGTGCACTTTTGAATTAGTTTTGTAAGTTACCTATAGTATGCTGTCAAGTTAGTGCCCGTCGTTTTTAGTGACATTTACATTTCATTGTTTATTTATTATTTTATTTATTTATTTATTTAAATTTTTTGTGCTATCTTTAGCTTTTAAGAACCTGCGCTCCCTGGAAATTTGCGGTGGTGGGTTAACTGATGCAGGCGTGAGGAATATCAAAGATCTTACATCCTTGACGCTTCTGAGTCTATCCCAAAACCATCACTTGACAGACAAGTGTTTGAAATCAATTTCTGGTACTTTCTTAGAGACTATAAGATCAATTTTCTCTGTTCTCTTATTAAATACAAACAAATCATTTTTCTGTGCACTCACATGCCATGCTTGTTATACTGGATTTGACGGTACTCGATAAGATTAGAGAGACAAGTTATATCTGTTACCGTAGATAATTAGGGAATTATCTTTATACTTAGAAACTTACCTTTTGGTTAAGATACTTGATTTTTAGGGATTGTTGTTTCCTTGTAAAATCTAAGACTATGCAATATATAGATAAGTATAAAGTACGTAAAACACACAAAAATTTTAGAAAAGTCATACCAATTTTCTCTCGATTCTTAACTTCTTTAACATGGTATCAGAGCCGAAATTCTGAATCCCAACCCGTTCTTGTTTTTTTTCTCGAATCTGGCTTCTCTTCCGGTTGTTAGCGGCGTCTCAACTCTCTTGAGGTAGGCGTATTGCTGTTTCTTGGTGGCTGTGTGAATTTTGGCCTTTTTCTCTGCGTCTTCTTGTTTCCGATGACGTTGACTGGTGGCTTCTCCCGTGATTTCTTGGTTGGCTATGTCTTCTGTGGTCTTGGTTGCCTTTGGTCGACAATTTGGTGAGGTCAGTTCTGTTCGATGTCTTCTGTTCGTTGGGTTCTACTTCAGGTAGCGTATCTTCTAGTGTGGGAGTCAATTTCTGGTGTGGGCAATCAAGTTTTGGTTTGGTCTGTCAAAAACTGATTTGGGCACCTCTTTATTGCAGTCAACTTGTAATTGCATATTGTACTCATTATGTCTTCAGATAAATTAGAGTCTTCCCTTATTTGGTTTAATAGCAAAAATTACTCTGCTTGGGAGATCAAAGGAAAGGAATTGTGGGGTCACCTTGATGGTAGTGATCCCGATCCTACAAATGTGGAGGCTTTGTTCAAGTGGGAAATAAAGGATGCTCGGGTGATGACCTGGATTTCTTAGTTCGGTTGAGCCTCAACTTGTTCTCAATCCGAGGCCTTATAAAACTGCTGCTGATATGTGGGATTACTTTGGTAAGGTTTACAAACAAGACAACATAGCTTGACGATTTCAATTGGAATATGAGATGGATAATTTTACACAGGGTCCCTCCCTTCATTAAGGGAATGAGAAGTCCGGGATAAAAGCCACAGTAGAGTAGATTGATAGATTCATAGTCCCTGTCTCTCCATTGAGGAATATTTTTCTGGTTTTAAAAATCTATGGGCTGAATATTCAAATATTGTCTATGTTAATGTTCCACCTGCAGCTCTATCTGCTGTTCAAACAATACATGAAACAAGAGAGATCAAATCTTGATGAAACTACGTCCTGACTTTGAGGTTGCACGTTCTAATTTGATGAATCATCCTGTACCATCTTTGGATACTTGTTTGGGTAAACTCCTTCGTGAGGAGCAACATATAGTAACTCAGGCTACCATGGAACATAGGGCTACTACCAATACTCCTGTTACTATGGCTTATGCAGCACAAGGAAGAAGTAAGGGTTGTGACATGCGTGTTGTCCAGTGCTATAGCTGTAAAGCTTTTGGTCATATTGCTCGAGACTATCATAAGAAACATTGTAACTATTGCAAGAATCAGGGTCATCACATCTCCATTTGTCCTATCCGTCCTAAACGGAAGCACAACAGTGCATATCATACCTCCATTGGTGCCAATAGCTCCGCTACATTACCTATTGCCTCACTAGTTGTTCCTAATCCTGCTTCTGCTACCTTAGCGAACCACGACACACTCACTCCTAAAATGGTACAATAGATGATCAATTCTGATTTTTCTGCTTTTGGCCTCTCAGAGTTTCTTCTAAGCTATGGTTTTTTTTTTAACTCCGGAGCCTCTAACCATATGACCAGTACTATTGTTCCTCTTTTCAATGTTAGAAAGTATGATGGTAATCTGAAAATTCACACCGCTGATGGCAATTCTTTGCCTATTAGCGCTGTTGGTGATCTTTCCTCCTCTACTGATGTTTTGTGTCTCCTTATCTTTCTACAAATTTAATATTTGTTGGTCAATTGGTTGACAATAATTGTGACGTCCATTTTTCTCGGTCTGGTTGTGTTGTGCAGGATCGAGTGACCAGAGAGATAATCGCTAAGCGGCCTAAAGTGGGACGACTCTTTCCTTTGCATATTTCTCCGTCGCCAATTTTTCGTAGTTCTCATTTACTTTCCTTTGCATGTAATGCTGTTAGTCCTAGAAATAAATTGTGGCATAGACGTCTAGGCCACTCAAACTCGGATGTACTTCATACTTTATTTAATTCTAGCTTCTTGGGAAATAAAAGCATGTTCTTCTCTTGATCTTTCTTTTGATTGTATAGCATGCAAAATTGTCTAAAGTAAAGTTCTACCTTTTCCTTCTCATGGATCTCGAGCATCACAATGTTTTGATATTATTCATAGTGATGTTTGGGGAATTTCACCTATTATTTTTCATGTGCATTATAAAAATTTTGCTACGTTCATTGATGACTTTAGTCGCTTTCTTTGGGTTTACTTTTTACGAGCTAAGGTAAACGTCTTTTTGGTTTTTAAGCGCTTCCTTGCCTTTCTTGATACTCAATTCTCTACTGGCATTAAGATTTTGCAATCTGATTCTGGAGGAGAATATATGTCCAATGAGTTTCAGGACTTTCTCCAAATGAGAGGTATCATTTCTCAACGTTCTTGTCCTTCGACGCCATAGCAAAATGGTGTTGCTGAAAGAAAAAATCGCCACCTTCTTGATATGATAAGAACTCTTTTACTTAAATCATCCGTCCCTCCTCGATTTTGATGTTATGGTTTTTTCTACTTCAGTTAATTAAATCAATTGTTTACCCCCTCTAACATTAAATCACGTCTCTCCTTTCTTTAAATTGTTTGGTCATTCACCCTCATATTTTGATCTTCGTACATTTGGTTGTATTTGTTTCGTACATCTCCCTACTCATGAACGAAATAAACTTATAGCTCAGTCCGTCAAATGCGCTTTTCTTGGTTATGCTATTTCTCAAAAAGGCTATGTTTGTTATGACCATCATGCTCAGCGTATTCGTATTTCTCGGAATGTGGTTTTCCTTGAAAACCAATATTTTTTTCCATCTCATGTTAAGCTATTGTCTACATCTTTATCTCTTTTACATAGCTTTTCTGACTCCTCGACAAGTGTGGAATGATTTAAACCTGGTCTTGTATATGAACGACGTCGTTATTGTGAGTCTGGCTCCACTATTACCCCTCAAGATCTCGAGTCGGCGCATGATCCTGCTACAATGCTCACCCCTCTTCATCGTTCTACTGGTCCTTCTCAACCACCCGATAGGTGTGGTTTCTCACCCCTTGTTTCTCTTATAGCTACTTTATCCTCTATTTCCATTCCCTCTTGCTACAAGCAGGTCATGGAACATGAGTGTTGGCAAAATGCAATAAAAGCGAAACTTTAGGCACTTGAAGAAAATCACACCTGGGACATTGTTCCTTGTCCCTCAACAATCAAACCTATTGGGAGTAAGTAGGATTTCTTCATAAAACTTCGTTCTGATGGATCCTTGGATTGGTATAAAGCTCGCCTCATGGCCCTAGGTAATAGATAGGACTATGGGATTGACTATGAGGAGACATTTGCTCCCGTTGCCAAAATGACCACAATTCGAACAATCATAGCTATTGCCGCCTCACAGTCGTGGCAACTACATCAGATTGATATGAAGAACGCCTTTCTTCACGAAGAGATCTATATGAAGTTTCTCCCTAATATGACATCTTTTTCTTATGATGTTTGTAAGCTAAGGCGTTCTTTGTATGGGTTCAAGTAGGCTCCTCGAGCTTGGTTTGCAAAGTTTCGTAACACACTCATTGACTTTAGCTTTACACAAAGTCAATATGATTCTTCTCTCTTCTTCCACTAGTCTGCATTAGGTATTGTTCTTCTTTTGATTTATGTGGATGATATCATTATTACTAGCACTCACTGTGATGTTATTACTAAGCTTCAAAAGCTGTTGTATGCAACTTTCCATATGAAAGATCTAGGCCAGCTCACATATTGCTTGGGACTGGAGGTTCATCATCGGGCCAGTGGAATTTTCTTAAACCAACATTAGTATATTCATGATCTTATCGCGTTAGCTAGGTTGGAGGATATTTCTTCTGTAGATACACCCATGGAGGTCAATTTAAAATACAGGAAAGATGAAGGGGATCTGTTAGATGATCCTACTCTCTATCGACTTCTAGTTGGGAGTGTTATCTATTTGACCACTACTCGCCCGGATATCTCATAGGCTGTTCATCAGGTCAGCTAGTTTACGTCTTCAGCTCGACATCTTCATCTTGCTGCAATTCGTCGCATTGTCTGCTATCTTCGCGGATCGCCTGTTCTTGGGTTATTCTTTCCTATAGGCTCATTACTTCAGCTTGTTGCCTACAGTGATGCTTATTGGGCTGGGTGTCCGAATACGCGTCGATCTACTAATGGTTGATGTATGTTTTTAGGTGATGCTTTAATCTCTTGGAAATGTAAGAAATAAGATCGTGTTTCTAAATCATCTACTGAGGTTGAATATCGTGCCATGTCTATGGCTTGTTCTGAAATTATTTGGTTACAGGGTCTTCTTGAAGAACTTGGGTTTCCTTAGACTATTCCTACACCTCTTCATGCGGATAACACTAGTGCTGTTCAAATTGCAAATAATTCTGTCTTTCATGAACGCATCAAACACATTGAAGTTGATTGTCACTTTATTCGTGACGTTGAGGATCGAGTGATATCTCTTCCCTACATTTCTTCTGATCTCCAAGTGGCACATGCCTTCACCAAAGCAATGATTCGACGGCGATATCAGTTCCTTGTTGGCAAATTGTAACTGGTTGACCTCACATCATCAATTTGAGGGGGGATGTTACCGTAGATAATTAGGGAATTATCTTCATGCTTGGAAACTTACCTTTTGGTTAAGATACCTAATTTTTAGGGATTGTAGTTTCCTTGTAAAATCAAAGACTATGCAATATATAGACGAGTACAAAGGATGTAAAACACACAAAAATTTGAGAAAAATCATACCAATTTTCTCTCGATTCTTGACTTCTTTAACAAAATCCTGTGCAATACTGTCTAGTTGTGTGTACCAAACATGTTGCCAAAGTTCATCTGCATTTTATCTGTGTATTGAGAATACATTTCACAACTTCTGTCTAGGTTTTTGCCGTGCGAATTCATGGACTATAGGAATTGTTTAGTATTCTTAAATACTAGGACATGCCTTTTGTTTTGTTGACACGATGAAACTCCAAACGAATTTGGATGATGATTTTAAAGAACTGTTATTTGTTAATTTATGCTGACTGTTTGTGCTTAATCTACTATCAACTGGCTTTCTTGTTATCCAAGTTTGAATGTTCCGTGTTTCCTTGTACATTTGCAGGACTCACACAACTGGTTTCTTTGAACATCGCAAATTCTCGAATAACAAGGGCGGGTTTGCAGCATCTTAAGCCCCTCAAAAATTTGAAATCACTGACTCTGGAGTCCTGCAAGGTGACTGCCGATGACATGAAGAAGCTTCAATCAACTGACCTCCCAAATCTGGTGAGTTTTAGGCCGGAGTAGAACTGGTGGAAAATGCTTATAGATATTTCATCAATATCGGATAATCTTCTGTACATATGGTCAAATTGTACATATCCAAGACTTCGAAGTTTGCATTGAATGCGTGGCGAAATGAATTCTGCCCATGCTGTGTGTGAAGCGTTCTTTCATATTATTTCGATCGTACCTGAAAGAAATGTAAATAAGAACTTCCTTGGCATGGCTTAAATTTCTTTCCTTTAGTTTTATAATAAATTGACTCCAAAACCTTTGTAAATATATATTGACAGGTTGCTTTTGGATATGATGATTTGGGAGCAGTTCTGTTCTTATTCTGTCCGTGGTTTTGATAATACTTTTTATCTTTTTATGCTAATATTTCACTTATTGAACAATTTTCTATAATCAGGCGGTGACCTAAAGATGTTCCCCCTACAAAAATAAAATTTCTAGATACTGTGAGAATAAGATATCTCTTCGATTGTAAGATTTTTGCCATTACATTGTACAGTTTTGGGTTACTAACATGAATGGTAGGCCCCTCTAGTTTTAGGGCTTATTTTGTACGTAATTTTGCACTATAAATTCTGAAAAACCAGAAAAATAGAGAGTATTTAGGATGTATAACTTCAATTAACAGTATTGGCCAAACTAATATATTCATTTGAGCAATTTATTTAAATTTTGCCTGTTGATATTAACAATTTTCTTCTCTGCCGGGTCACGAAATCTAGCATTTTTCACTCAAACTTGAATTTTTATTAATGAAAAGGGCAATAATCATGTTTTGAATTATACAAGATTTATCCATGCATGAGACATGGCTTGGCCCAACCAAACTTGTCACTTCTACTAATCAAAATGCACGCGGATATGCTAGTTTTGTTAGCTAGACTTTCCCCAATCTGGCACCCAGACATATGGGATTAGATCGCTCGGGAAAGCCTTTTCTTTAGAATAATGGGGGCATTTGAGAGTATTCTAGTCAGGTCGTGTGCTTCCATTCTTATATTCTGATTGTTCTTATCGAGCTGGTGAATCTAAAGTCTTAGGTTATTGACAAATTTGACAAAGAAGGGTGTCATGGTCTGAACCTTAAGAATGAGAAAAGTTCCTCACATTTCGATAGAGGAAATACTGTAAAGATCAATTAGCAATGTTTTGGGCCAATATGATAATAAATGTTATTTTATTTTAGTTTCTATTCAATGTAATTTTGATTTTGGGTGTCAATGGACCATGTATGGTTTACTTGTTGAAGGGTCAATTTGATCCTTTCAAAGTTTTCATTCAGCATGATGGAAAGTTTAGGTCATAATGCCTCGTAAACAAGGCCTTGCACATCTGGGCCGCTAGGATCGATCGACCTAGCCATTTTGACACCCCTATATTTTACTAATTGAGGGTGTGTTTTTCCCATTTCGGTTATATTAGGGGTTTAAATGTTATTATTATATTTATATGGGTTTAAAGTATAAAATGAGTAAAATTAAAGAGAGCCAAGTCAAATATGACCAAAATTCCTCAATTTTAGCCTCCGTTTGATACTCATTAATTTTCATTTCATTACATTTCATTTTCTCTTTCCCATTTTTAATCACACTATCTTCCATAAAATAATATTACACGTAAATTAAAAAAAAATTCTTTTCCAATAACTCATTTTTAAAAAAACACTGTTCCGATTGTTATATTATATTTCGTTAATTATCTTAGTATGTATATTGTTTATTTAATATTTGATTGTTATATTTCGATTACTTATGTAAATTAAAATAATAATTATTCTATTTATTTTCTTTTAATACAAGTGAGGCAACGATATATATTAACTGAAATTACAAACACAACAACAATGTAAATTAAAATAATAATATTTTGTTAATTAAATATTTTAAAAAATTATTACATTACAGCATGAATCAACTGAAGTAAACAACATTTACATTTCAATAAAATAATATATAATGCACTAAGGATGACGGTTATATTCATACAAGTCGCAAGCTAATTTATGCCCCCTCATATCAATCCAAGACTGATTTATTGTTTCAACATTGCGACCAATGCTCAAAAACTCTATATACTTTATTGCAAATAAGCCACAGTCGTCCCTGCAACCGAAAAAGAATATATTAGTTTGATAACATATAACTGAAAATTAAAAAGTTTTAAATCCTTATGATCTTTCTTGTTTTGCCGTTGTCATGTTCCGCACAGTAGCTAATCTGTCATTTACTTGAATCGTCGCCTGATTAGCCATCATGTGCACGATCATAGCCATTGGCTCCAGTATTTGCTCCAGTTGACTGTGTCAGACAGCTGTGATCAGAGTCGTACACATAAATAGTGGAATTAACAAATACGATTTCCACTGAAAAATAGCGTGAGTTCGCGATCACTGGAATATACATATGTGTACAATCCGTCCACGGCTTTCCGCACCTCAACTGTAGCCCAATCACCCACTCTACCATGTACTCAGGCAGAACATTCATTCCCCATGCTTAGGAGCTCGTGACGCTCAATATCTACGATACGAACAAACTCAGAGCTCAGGATAACTCGACTAGGACTGTCATAAGATTTCGGGTATCTCTGAGCCCGATCGCGTAACAATTCCATAGCCAAGTCGATATGCTGAAACAAAAAAAAAAAAACACCAACAAAAAAGATAGAGACGTTTAAGTAAATGAACCAAGAACTTCTATAAATATAATAAATGAAAACTCAAAAAATTTACATCATCGGCGAGCCAAGCTGAGGTCGTCAGTACATCTTCGAACCATCTTTTAGCGTTGGGCACGGTCATACAGTCGATGGTATAACTATCTTTGAAAAATGAAAAAAAAAGTTACGAAAAATACAAAAAAATAGTAGCAAAATCATAAAATACTTACTCGGACTTAAGGGATTTGAACCAATTATCGAACGCCTTCTGTCTGACCGGGTCGACGTCGCGAAAAAGATTGGGAAACGTTCCATTCACAAACCCCCTTCTCTTCGCCTCGGCCGTGTATGGGGAAACAATGTACTGTGATGGTAATCTCGATCTCTTACCGACCATCAGCTCTGGTGCGTCATTAGCACGCTTCTTACCCTTCGGCACTTCCGTCGCCCCCTCCGACACGAATACTACATCGTCATCCGTCATCTCTGGCATCCTCTCCTCCTCCGCAACCCCCTCACCCCCCTACTATTACCTCTGGTGTCCCCTCCGCTACCTCCTCGGTCACCCCCTCCGGCACTCCTGTCTCTCCCTCCGGAACCCCTGTCCCTCCCTCCACTCCCTCTGTCATCCCGACCTCCTCCGACACCTCCATCCCGGCCATCCTGGGCTCTGGCACTGAATCAAAAAACTCATCGATTCCTACGGCCGTTGTCCTCCAATCTCGAGAAACACCAGTCTCCCCAACACTCCCTCTGACAGAACCTCGGAAGCCTGCTACATCGCCCCGAAGTGCTGCAACCTCAGTATGAAGCTCTCCTAAATCTCGTCGCAGCACTCCTAAAGCCCTCCTTAATTCGATAAGTAAAAAAAATATTATTCTATTTAATTTATTCTTTCACTATTTAGTTAATTACTCATATTACTCATTTCATATTTAACTATTCTATTTCGATTATTTATTTGAATAAAAATAATATTATTTAATTCAATTTTTCATTTCACTATTTTTTTAATTAATTATCTTAATTCGATAAGTAAAAAAATATTATTCTATTTCATTTATTCTTTAAATATTTCGTTAATTACGTATATTACTCATTTCATATTTAATTATTCTATTTCGATTATTTATTTCAATAAAAATAATATTATTTAATTCAATTTTTCATTTCACTATTTCTTTAATTAATTATCTTAATTCGATAATTAAAAAAATATTATTCTATTTCATTTATTCTTTAAATATTTCGTTAATTAAGTATATTACTCATTTCATATTTAATGATTCTATTTCGATTATTTATTTCAATAAATATAATAATATTTAATTCGATTTGTCATTTAACCATTTCTTTAATTAATTATCTTAATTCGATAAGTAAGAAAATTATTATTCAATTTAATTTATTATTTAAATATTTTGTTAATTATGCATATTATTCATTTCATATTTAATGATTCTATTTCGATTATTTATTTCAATAAATATAATAATATTTAATTCGATTTGTCATTTAACCATTTCTTTAATTAATTATCTTAATTCGATAAGTAAGAAAATTATTATTCAATTTAATTTATTTTTTAAATATTTAGTTAATTATGTATATTATTCATTTCATATTTAATTATTCTATTTCGATTATTCATTTGAATAAAAATAATAATATTTTATTCAATTTTTCATTTTACTATTTCTTTAATTAATTATCTTAATTGCTTAAGTAAGAAAATTATTATTCAATTTCATTTATTCTTTAAATATTTCGTTAATTATGTATGATATTGATTTCATGTTTAATTACTCTACTTCGATTATTTATTTGAATTAAAATATATTAATATTTTCATTTAAGTATTTTTTAATTTAATTATATTAATTGTTTCCATAATTAATTATTTTAATTTTCTTAAAATGTATCTTATTTGTTTCATATATTTAATTACTAAACTTATTTAATTACTAAACATATATTTATTATTTATTTCGTATATTTAATTACTAAACATATATTTAAGTCAAAACAAAAAATTAAAATTCTATTTAATCTATTTTTAAATATTTTCGTTCATTATCTTAACATATTATTTATTTCATATTTAATTACATTTTTTAATATAAAAATTAAAATAAATTAATTGAAAAAAAATATATACGTGAATGGTCGGGTCCGGACCGACCAAATGGTCCGGACCCGGACTGGATGGTCCGTTACGAACTGGTTTGTAACGGACCATACGGACCATTTCGTGGTTAGTAACGGACCATCCAGGTCCGTCACGGACCAAAAAAGCGTCCAGCTCGCCGAAAAACTTCATTTCTGGCGAGCTCCGTTTCTTTTTTCCAACACTTCAACCTCAAATTCGATCTTTTCTTCCATTTTAACCATAAAAAATTGAATTTAACTCATTCAAATCCTAAACATTCAAATTTACACATTTTCATAAAAATTATTTATAGAGAACATGTCTAACCTTCCAGAAAATGGCGTTTTCCCGGCTGATCGTGGTGTGTCCAAAGAAGTCGAAGTGGGACAGGTCGGGGTCGTCTGTAGACGGCGGATCCGGACTCCTTTTTTACTTTTTTTTTCTCTCTATTTCTCTTCTCTTGGTTTGCAAATGAGGGGGGTATTTTCGACCATAACAATTTTGTTTACATTTTTTTTTTTAATTACGAAAATTTTGGTCGGACTGTGGAAAAGTAACTGGGTGGGGCAGCCATTAGCCACCATTTCCTCGGCGAAACATGGGTATTACAAAGTTCAACATTTGAGGTACGCCGCCGTCTTTTTCTCCACGAATTTCCTTCTACAGACAGATCACAGGACTAGCCAGAGTGCATAGCATTTTATTTGCCAATTGGAAAAATAAAATATATGGTTTCTGTCGGAGCAGACCCAAACCCGTCGCCGATTTCTTTTTAACCAAAGACCGCCGGCGCTGACTTGTGGTTTCCTTCTAGACGTCTTCCAGCTCCAGCCACGCTGCCGCAGCATTTGAGTTCTGAGGTAATCATTATTTATCTATTTTTTCTGCAATTTACATAAGTAACTGCTACTTTATTCTTGAGCTCTTTTGGGTTTAGTTATTTTGCTTCAATTAATCTTTTGCTGGGAATGTTCCCTTACAAGTTTGTATTTTCATTTTATTCCTTAGATTTTTTCTTTGCTGATTTCACAATGTTGCTGTAATTAAAACTTTGATTAATTATGGTTAATGACCTTGATCCAGACTTGAAAATTCGTTCAAGGTTTTACTTTGAAATTTGTATGCTTACAATGTCACGTATTTTATACTATATAAGATTTTATTTTTTGTGGGGTTTGGATTAGTATAGTTATTGTTAGAATGTTGATGCAATTTTTAGGATATTTTTTCTTTCCTTTGAGTGAGCTATACAATTCTATTGAATTTTCTTTAAGGTAAATTTAATTATGACTTTGAACTGAGAGATGGATAAGGTGACTGTAGTTGATAGAATTCTTAAATTGTTTCCCGTATTTTGGAGGAACCATCACTTTGAATGAATAAACTTCATTGATTAGAAAAATGAAAAATTCTTCCTGTGGTCCAAGGAATTGATAAAATATCTAGACTCATTTTGCATGTTAAGGATGATAATATGAGATATGTTAATACATAGGATACTCAGGTGTCTGGGGTTGAACTGCTGGATATTATATAATATTCTACAATTTATAAATTAAGTTCAATGAATCTGTCTGGAGGGGTGGAACATGTATCATCCAAAATAGCCGTTTGCAGAAATAATTGAATTTATAGGGTTGTTGTTTACAGAGCCAAACTCAAATATTTGTGTATCATCAGGCAACTGTGGTTATTGGAATGGGCTAATACATTATTGACGTAGAACACTAAAAATAAGTATCTAATTTGGAAAATAAATTATATAATATCTATACTAGGGTTCCCATCAATTATCCAACTTCGTTAGTGTAATTGAGACAACATTTACATCAGCTGAAGTGATTTTTTATTTTTCACAGAGATGATTTGATGTAACTTTAATGTTTAATGTGTTGAATTACTTGCTGAATATAATCTATCTACTTTTCTGTCATAATATGAATTTTTTTACATTCTCTTTTTTACAATTCCATCCCCCTTAACTTACTTTTCTAGGTTCCCCCCGGTCATAGCAGGGCCGCCAATTCTTCCATCCTCCCTGACCAAATTATCCTAAGAAATCTCAGTGTCTTTTTCTGCAAAACAATGAGTTGCTCAACTCTTTTTTCTCTCAAAACTCCACTCTTTACCTCCACCACTGTCAGCCACTCTAATAATCTTCGGCCCACCAATTATTTCGTGACAACAGCATCTCTCGAAGTGGGCGTGCATTCCAATCCGAAACCATTACTTAATGAGAACCCAAAGAAGACTTCAGAAGTAATCGCTGACGAGAAGAAATTTGTGGTGGGCACCTATGCAAGGGCACCAGTGGTGTTGGCCAGTGGGAAGGGCTGTAAAGTGTACGATGTTGATGGGCAAGAATATCTGGACTTGACATCTGGTATTGCTGTCAATGCTCTTGGTCATGGGGACCCCGATTGGGTGCGGGCAGTTACGGAGCAAGCTAATGTACTCACGCATGTCAGTAATATATACTATTCCATTCCACAGGTAAAAAGTTCTTTTTCCTAATTTTTCCTTTGTTTTTTTGTGTTTTTACGTTTTAGCATTGAAAGTCTTAAATTTTGATGGATTTTTTTTGTTTATTATTTCTTGAACGTTATGCTAATTTCCAAGAATTTTTTGTGAGTGAGGTCTAGATGAATTGTTTTTGAGGGTTTATTCTTCTTGCTCTTTGGATAATTTAGCGTGATATAGTAGAGGCTCGCGAAAGCAAACTAATTTGGTATAGAGTTTAAGATTAAATTTTTGTCGGATTCTTCTCATCGTAAGATTTATAGAGCTATTTTCTGGAAAATTTGGGCTTTGCTCGAGAATTGACGGGTGTGGTTTTGGAATTTGTGGATCTTTTGTGATTGTAATGATAAATAATTGAAAATTTTCAAGTGAAATGGACCTGAATGCACGTTAGGATAAATTAAATTGATTTTCATGAGTTTCTTAATATGAAGATTGAGAAAGATTATTCTTGTGAATTAATGAATGGAGACCATTTGAAATGTTAAATTGATGGATTGAGTTTCATGCAAAAAATGGTAGTACTTTTCTTTGGAAGGGACTTAAAAAATGATTTCTTGCACGCAGTAGTTCAATTGTATAATGGATAGTACCATGTTGATGGTTTAAGGTGGATAGTATTCTTTAATTTTTCATTCAAAAGATAGTCATTTGCACTATTAATCATATAGCATAATACGAAGGCTGAAGGTGGGTTTAGGCCTGATAACAAAAACAGATAGTGACATTCTTTTAATGAAAATTCAAAGATTATTATCCACATTTATCTACCATAAGACCATCTACCAAGTAATATATATTATAATTTATTCTAAATTTTTATGTCGTCTACTCCGTTGCACCAAATGTGACCTTAGAGTGAAGGAGATAATTTTGTGGAATGCGTGTATCCAAGATCAATAGAAGATAAATTTAGTATTAAATTGACTTTTCTCCCCCAATTTTATATGTACGAGCTGATAATTTGCATTGCAAAAGTGAAATGATATAGTTTGTGTTGTCACATTAGCGGATATATATTGATTAAAGTCTGTTTTTGCAGGTGGAGCTTGCAAAACGTCTGGTTGCTTGCTCTTTTGCTGATCGTGTGTTTTTTTCCAACTCTGGAACCGAGGCAAATGAAGCTGCTATTAAGTTTTCCCGGAAGTTCCAAAGATATTCACATCCAGATGAGAAGCAGCCACCAATGAAGTTCATTGCCTTCACAAATTGCTTCCATGGTAGAACCATGGGTGCTCTTGCATTGACAAGCAAAGAGAATTACAGATCACCTTTTGAGCCTGTTATGCCTGGAGTGACATTCTTAGAATATGGTAATATCCAAGCTTCTACTGAAATTATTCAGAGTGGGGAAATTGCTGCAGTATTTGTTGAACCCATTCAAGGAGAAGGTGGTATATATAGTGCAACAAAGGAGTTCTTGCAATCACTGCGCACTGCCTGTGATAATACCGGTTCTCTTCTTATTTTTGACGAGGTAACCTACTTATGCAGAAAATATTATTACTCTTTGTGGATATTAATTATTAACAAGTAAATAACATTTTTATGTGAAAAGGAAGGTATGGTATGCATATAGAACGAAACAGGTTTCTCTGTAGGAAGAATTTAAAATTATTGATAGCAATTGTCTGGATGAGTAGGTAGTACCTACATGCAAAGCAAAGGTTTTCGAAGAATAAAGTTGCTGGGATGCTTTTTGGCGCCCCTACCTTTATTTGTTCAGATCTTGAGCAAGGCAAGCCCCAAGATCCAAATTTTAGTTAAAAACTCATGTAATGGAGCACCTTGGTCAACCCTCAAAATGGGATAGAATCAAGAGAAATTTCATTTGTCAGATATAGTATATTAATACGGGACGCCTAGATGTGTTATCTACTTATCCATATATTTCTTGTGAAAGAAATCAACTGATAAAATGCACATCAAGAGGAAAGAAGTTTTCTGGACGTAATTCTTAAATTATGGGTGAGAAACTGTTTTAGTGTAGATTGTCTATTGACTACAACAATTAAACATCTACATTCAGCAATAACTTCGAGGAAATCTGTATGTTTGAATGGAGAAATATATGATTAACCAGGTGATTAGAGACATCTATATCTGATGATGAGAATGCTTTTGGCTTTTTCAACGAGAAGTAATTTACTTTTTATGCATCTTATAATGGTCCTTATGTGGGGAATGAAATAAGGAGTTCCTATCTGGAACAAAAAAGTGAAGCTTTTTATTCAAACTTGGCCTTTTTGCTCTCGTTCTTTTCATATTAGCATATCTGGGTATGGTTTTTTTTGTAGATTGGAATAGTCATCCTTAAAGGCTGTGGAGGTCATTATAAAAAGTGAAGCTTTTTATTCAAACTGGGCCTTTTTGCTCTCGTTCTTTTCCTATTAGCATATCTGGGTATGGTTCTTTTTTGTAGATTGGAATAGTCATCCTTAAAGGATGTGGGGGTCATTACAATGTGATTGCATGTTTCCAGCTTGGATTTCCCCATGAGATTATGTAGTGGACAAACAAATATGAGTACATTCAAAAAATTTCTTTTCCTTTCTTTTTCTGTCGCTAAATTTTGAAAGTACTATGGTTGTATACGTGCATATTAAACAATCTTAACTCTCAGATTTACACATTGCATTTTTCTTTTCAAATTGGTACAGCATGATTTGTATACTGCATAATAAATGCCCAGTAAGAGAATTGATAATGTGCATTTTGAGTCAATTTTGTTGCTAAACTATTTCTGTTACAAGCATTATGTTGCTAGGCTGTCTTTTGGCTGAAGATTCTCCATTTTCCTTTTAGCTGATGCATTTGTATGAAACTGTACAGAAATCAGAATTTTGGAAAAATATAACACGGCCAAAGTAGTGTCATAACGTGTCATCGACATTGATTAAAACAACTATAAGTTCTGCTTGGTTGTTGCTTTGTTCAAATTCTGGCATATGTTTGATCATATTTTACCGAACGGGTTTTTTTATGCCTCTGTCCACAGGTACAATGTGGCTTAGGCCGAAGCGGTTTTCTTTGGGCCCATGAAGCTTATGGTGTATACCCAGATATAATGACTCTCGCAAAGCCTCTAGCCGGAGGTCTACCTATTGGTGCCGTGCTGGTAACCGAAAAGGTGGCTCCTGCAATAAATTTTGGAGATCATGGTAGCACTTTCGCAGGTGGCCCTCTTGTTTGTAGTGCTGCAATTGCTGTGTTGGATAAAATTTCAAGTCCAGGCTTTTTAGCTAGTGTCTCAGAGAAAGGTCAATATTTCAGAGAACTGTTAGTTAAAAAGTTGGGAGGAAATTTGCATGTGAAAGAAGTACGAGGTTCAGGACTGATTATCGGCATAGAGCTCGATGTATCTGCCTCCCCATTGGTCGATGCATGCCAACAGTCGGGTCTTCTTATCTTGACTGCAGGAAAAGGAAATGTTGTTAGAATTGTGCCACCACTGATCATATCGACTCAGGAAATAGACCAGGCCGTTGAGATCTTGATTGATCGTATCCCTGTTCTTGATCAGGCTAGCACAAATTAGATGTCAAATTCAAGGATTCTTGAACCTTTCCCCATCTGAATTGGGGCTCCAAGCTTATAAGTGATAAATATAAAATCCTTGCAGACTATTTTTCAATAAAATTAATGAACCATTTGCCTGCTTATCAGAGTATGTGGCTTTCATATTCCTTTCAAGATTTTACTTCAGTTCGTATGCTCTTTTGACTTAATGATGATAATATAGGTTATTTATTGTCTTCATGCTATTGGCTCTTGCAATCCACTGATCTCCTCTTGTATGTGTTCTGGACTATTTCACTCTGTTACTTATTTATTCCAGTTTTTAATAAAAAGTAAAATTAAAGATATAACTTTGTTAGGTAAACCTTTGTTTTAGAATTGTTGTATGTTTCCAAATTAGAATTATAGTAGATTTTGACCAGAATGATAAATGTGTGATGAAAAGTTGATAAAAGCCGTGGATCACATAAAATTATGGTTGAAAATTGAAAACAAAATGAATTTTATAAAATTGGAGAACATATTTATTGGATCCCAAAATTTTTAGAATTAGAAAATGAATGAGAGGTTAATGGCTAAGTTAAAAGATTTTCAACGTGAATGATGGATGGGACTATATAATTATAGAATGGAGTACCAATAAACGTAGAATAATAACAATTCGATGATTAAAAAAAAAAAAAGATGTTGGATAATTGGATAAATAAAAAAAATAAAAATGGAAAATCTCTGATTTTATTATTTCTTAAACATTGTTGTCAAATAGGGCAGATTAGTTCATAATCAAAACTTACCAAACACAAAAAATAATCATGCTTGTTTGAAAAGCAGAAGTTGATGCTCTAAAAGCAATTCCAGATCATGCCTTAGGTACGTCTATGTTCTAACGAAATCAAGTTGAAGCAAACAAAGTAACATGAATGAAAAACCTCTCATATAGTTTTTGAGTAGGCATAACATACAATTTGGTGGTATCAAATGAATTACGCTGGATTAATTTGATGACATAAGGGTTCGATAGGGCCATCGGGTGATTTGATCTTTTGCTTTTTCTATAAAAGATTTTAAAGAGAGTAAAAAGTAGAAAGTGCTTTACTTATTCACCACTTCTTACACCTCTATTTGGGATCCTAAGTTCCATGACGCTTCTTTAACAATACCAATCGTTATTAGTAGATAGGATAAAAAAATTTCAACGTTGATGTGACAAATAGAATAATCTGGTTTTTTAAAGGAATGTCCGTTGTAGAGAATCGTATGTAAGATTTTCTTACCACGTCAACAATGATAAATTTTTCGGTCCATTGTGGACAGAAAATCAAATCTGAAAATACATATTAAGGAAGAAAAAGGAAGTTGAAGAGTATTCAATAAGAGCACGGCCACATCATTAAATCAAAAAGAGGAAATTCCAAATTTGCCAGATACCATACGTATAAGTGTCTTGTAGGAACTAAAAGTTTACATTTCCAATGAAGTATTCTTGAAACTCGATCAAGACTAGAGTCCCACCGACACATGCAATACTAAAATGCAGACAGTAATCCTTAAAGTTAATTATCCACTCAATTTGTTATTCTTTCATTTGACATTGTAGCTCTTTTTATCTGAATTACGTGCTTGTTTTGGCCCGTTAAGAAATGTACAATACTACATTTACCTACACATTTTTATCGAATATTTTATCTACACTCACAATAGGAGGACCAGTCCCACGAGCAGGAATTTTTAAATGCACGCGGGGCTCACGCGCATGTGAGAGTAAGGCATCAATTCGGTAACCAATTTTCGGTACATATATATTTATCCTTAGGAAAGGACACTGCGACATTTACCCACACATTTTTATTGAATCTTTTACCTACACTCACAATAGGAGGACAGGTCCCACAAACCGGAATTTGATTCGATTCTACTTGAGAATTCGTTCTAATTAAATAATCAATTATATTTATTTTATGATCTGCTAAATGATTTTAGCAAACAATATTTTGTACGAAGATGAAATTTTTCGTTTGCATTAAAATAGGTTCATCGTTTTTTTTTTATGAGTGTACTAATTTTGGTGACGAAAGTTTATACTGTAATTTGCATTAACAATTTAGAAATTTTAATTTGGGCCATGAAGTATACCAAATCGAAACAATTCAATTTGTTTTGTTTTGGTTTCATTTCATGATTATCGATCGAACCAATTACTCCATTATAAGAAAATCAAAAGTTCTCAATTGGTGGATCTCATATTCATATATTTAACAAAGCATTATCGTTTAGGGGTTACTTGGCAATTTTTTAGAAAAAAATCAACAGACTTTGATAAAAGTTAATAAAATATATATTTTTAAAAGTTTATAAAAAATTGTGATGTCTCATGAAATATAAGATTAAAATTGAAATTTGACCCGTTGAAAGATTGATAAAATTTAAGCAAACAAGTCATGACACATTATATATTATATAAATGAGTGATAATCTCTAATGTAGATTAATATATATGATCCGACTTAAACGCAATTTTCATTGTTACTCTAAAAAATTTGTTTGTCTTTATTATTATTGGAATTTTCTCTTTTCAAACCCCAAAGCCGTACACTCCATTGCTTCAAGCAAAACAAGAAATGGTCCCTCAGTTCAAAGAATGATTCTTTCTAGGGAAAATATCTTTTTGTTAAACTTTTTAGTGTGGGATCAGTGTAGTAGGTGTTCATAGACAGACATTCTATTTGATTCCTGGCAAATGTTTCTTAAAATATAAGGTTAGGAAGAATTCATTTTTCTTACCACCCTCAACTTTGTCCAAAACAAGCCAAGACCAGACCATTTAGTTTTTTAAACATTGCGTTCAGACAGAAACTGACTGGCAGTATTGGTTAAGATAACTTGCAGTTAATTAATTTGAGTGACTTATAAGCACATAATTGGAACCATATTTACCTTTTCTCTTCCTACACAATGTTGACCTCAAATTCAGACGATGCCGTGTGGCTAACAGATCACTACTATTCTCTCATCCACATGTATGCTATCCGCATATTTAAACAACTACGTTGTTAGATAACTACTGTGAATGAGGTGCCTAACCACCTCGTCCGATGACTCAAAACACTTTGAAAAAGTGTGGGGGACCAATGTGACATAGAGCGTGAACCTTTCATGACCTCTTACTTCGTTTCTATTTAACTGATTGTCACGTGACTTGGGAATGACACTTAACACACATTACAAGCAAAGGTAACAATCAAAAGGTCCCTTTTACTGCACCACAAAAGATTACATAGTCAAGATCAACACTCTTAACCACAGATTTTGCCAACCCATTGATTGATGTGATCAAAACCCTTCATCTCCCCCATGCTTGCATTAATCACCCCATTATGCAAGCAAAACAGAAAACCCTAATTTGCATTCTGGATTCTTAAATGGGAGCACACGGGTATATTGATGCTCTGTAAAGCACAGGAACCTCTCTCCGGTTAATGCGAGTAATCATAGCCGTTCAGTCAAACAGCCTTTTCTCCTTGACGCCACTATGACGTTTTTGCAACATTACAAGTCATCTAATCACTCTGCTATAAAGCCACAGTTAATGCTTTATGAAGTTAGTTCTCTATAGTACTAATCTTATTGAAAGGAATCATAATATCTGATTTGTTGATTATAATTTTCATATTTAATTGATATGAAATTTATCTAGTAATATGTTGATGCAGATTGTGATTTGTTTGAAAACACAGACCCCAAAATTTGATTGCTCAGTTGAGCTTTGAGCTTAATGCTGATATGATACGATATAAAGACCTTGATTTCACTATAAAGAGTCGAATTTATTGAGAACAATATTCAAGACTTTATACGTTTGTGTAACTTTCATATTTAATCGATCCCCTAAATTTATTTTACCAGCATTATATTATAATGTGGTCTACGTATCTAACTTTATAAATCTAAATTTTGTTTCTAGACCGAACTAGTGTCCAATTTGAAGTGATGCACATTTTCTTAACAATCACGTGACGATTTAATGAAAAAAATAGATGATATTTATCGAACACGTAATTACAATAGAAGGTTGAGAATCAACTTGTTCTTTTTGAAGGTTGTAAATGGACTTGTTATTGCCCTTAATTTTTTTTTTATTCTTTTTCAAGACAATTTATTCAAACTTATTTTTAAATACATATGATTTCTATAAAATAATTTTTCACATAAATTTATAAAAAAAAAAAAATTAGTTTTTAATCACACGTGTTTTAGGAAATTATTTTTCGCAATTATTTTAAAATATTTCAAGATAACGAAACAATAAGTTGAAATGAATATAAAATTCTTTTGAACATAATTTGAAATAAAAGAAGCAAGCAAGCATAAGTTTCTGTTTGTGTTTCATTAGAAATAGTTTTTTTTTTCTTGAGAAAATTAATTTTAAAACAATAATTTTTTAAAAAATGTGTGATTAAACAGAAGGAAAATTTTTAAATTTAAATGTAAAATTTTTTTATTGTGTAAATATGTAATTAAAAATGAGTTTGAGAGAAAAGAATTTTGATTTAATGGAAGATAAACAGGTGCTGAATAATTGAAGTATATCTCTCTGCCAAGCAACGACGTGCATGTAAAGTAAATATAAATATTCATGACAGATTGTTGTCCTGTCCAATTTGACAGCATTATCTAATTAATTTTCCATAAAATCTATATTACAATCCGTTTTCCACTCTTTAAATTGTGGGACTGAATTAATCCTTTCCTCTTGAAATTCTCCAATGAACCCTAATTTCCCGATGTTAAACAGCTGCCCGTTCTTCCCTAAACATCAACCAGGGGAAACATTTTCTTTGCTACATCAATGGCCTGTTGCCCCGTTCTCTCCAATTTCAGATCCCAAACTAGTTGTCCCGGAAATCCATAATCCCATATCTGATGACTTTGTTAACGAGAGAGAACAAAACCCTCATGTTCTTGAAGGAATTGCCGCCATTGTTGGAGAACATGTTCTTTTTGGAGGCGGTAATATAAACAGTACAATCAAGAATGGTAAAGAAAGTAAACAATCCGAAATTCTGCGGCGGAAAACGTTGAAAGCAGAAGGGGATGAAAGGAATGTGGATGGTGTTGGAGTGCAAAAAAGTTATAGGGGTGTAAGGAAGAGGCCGTGGGGGCGGTGGTCAGCCGAGATACGTGATCGTGTAGGGCGGTGCCGCCATTGGTTAGGTACTTTTGACACGGCGGAGGAGGCTGCTCGGGCTTATGATGCAGCAGCAAGAAAGCTGAGAGGATCCAAAGCTCGCACCAACTTTGAAATTCCTCCCGTACTGCCTATTTCTTCATCAAATTCATCATCATCTGAGGTGAAAAATGGGCGAAAAGGCAAGAAATCACAAGATGAAAGAAGAAAATGCTCAGTTGTTACTTCTGCTGCTCATCTGTTCAGTTTAAATCCTGTGGCTGACAATGTATCTGCAGGCGTTAATCTTGAGCTTGATTTGAAGCTTGGTGGGAGTGTTAGTGAGAGCAGGGTGCCATCAATGATGGTTAATTTAATATGACGATAACACATGTTGGCTGTGCTTATAAGTAACATAAATGTAACTTTCCAGTTAGTAGGTTTTTGTTTCATCTGATTTCTAACTTTCGGATGTTTTAAGGACAATCTTAAAGTCTGTAAGCTTCTGGTAGTGTATGTAGTTACACCTTGCTTATGCTTTCTACTTAAGTTGACAAAACTTTTTCTGTGTTTCTTAAATTTCTCTTACTTTCACACTTCGTAAGTAATTCTTGCACTCTTTCTATAATTCTATTTAGTTGAATTCCTGTACTAGCATTAATACAGGAAGCTGAAACGAGAACATGGTATATCAGCATACAAAATTCACAAGGATAAATTTTATTTTTTGAAAATTTGGGTTCAACCTTTTGATTCCACGTCTCATGGTTCAATCTCAAGCAACTCGAAATTATCAGCAGTGACATAAATCGTTTGGATTGTGTATGCATTTCCTTCTTTGTAAATTAAAGTTCGGCTACATGATCAATTCTTTCGATTCCTCGACTCAGCTCACAGTACCATCTAAAGCAACTAGATTATGAAGCAATCCAGGCGGATTCTGCATTCAGAAATTTGGGGCGTTGGGGTCATATGTTGGCAGCATTTGATCCGCGATATTGTACTCGTGAGATTGGATTTTCAGCTTGGATACAGATTCTAAATCAATATATAGACAGTTGCAGTAAAAAAGATTTGGAATTCTGCAAAGATCCCCCGCCCCGTAAAAAGAGAGGGTTTATGGGGTTTAGCCTTTTTTTGTAGGGATGCTGATTGGCACAGTTTTAACTTTTGTTCAGTTTGATACTCTTCATCTCCTTGAGTTCTGACTGAGACTGTGACACCGATTGTACAGACTAGACTCTGCTCTAGAGAGTAATGAGTAGTATATTAATTAATGGTGCAGAATTGCAGGGATGATTTCTGATTGAACAATGCTACATGAACAATTTTTGTTGACAAAATCTATGTCATCCATTTTAAAAACTATATTTTAAATTAACTAAATAAATTTTGACAATACGTGAATTGTTAACAATCATTGTTAAAATAACTTTGTTCTTTCTAATTTAAGTTTTAGCAGGTCTAGTTATTAAGGTCCTGTTTGGGATGAATTTTGAGAATTGATTTTTTGACCGTTAGAAGAAAAGTGGAGTCCCCATGTGAGAGAAGAAGTCAAAAATTACGGCTGAAATAGTGAAATAACAGTCAAAAAATCAATTTTTTTGGATAAAAAATTCCTCCCAAACAGGCTGTAAAAATTTCACACTATTAACGTGATAAGAGTCTTACTTATGTCTGAAAGAATCATAATTAGAGTCTTACTTATGTCTGAAAGAATCATAATTAAACTTCTCTTATCATATCGACGGTCAAGAATCTTTATCTTGTTCACTGACTGAACAATTTCAGCACTTGTAGTCCCTACTTCCCTAACTACGGCATCTTTGGAGTCAATTGAAGCCAAACTCACCCCGGCCACCATCACTCAGATGAGCCAGAAATCGTGGCCCTGCTTCCCTATCTCATCCCGTAACGTATCATTTCGATTTAAGATTTTACAGTATAGTTTGGGTTTAAGATTTTTGATTGCTCGACTAATCAATATTGGATCAAGCTGACCAGTTTTAAGGTATTTCACATTGAACCACTGGTGTAGAAGTACTAATCATCATCACAACTAATATGAATGGCATCTCTCCAACTTTAAAGAGATGACTTGATAATTTGAAGTCTTGACATTGACAATTAATTGAAAACCTTAGTGAAGTCTTGAAATTAATTGATAACCTTAGTTAAGTCTTGAATATTGATTTAATTACTCTACGTCAGGTCCCCGCGACTCAATTTTGAGGAGGTCTGAATTGGATCACCTTTGGTCAATATGGCCCGTGCTACGCTGGGTCCATAATCTTCCATTGTTTTGGCTTTAGTGTTCCGACATCTCTACATCATATTCAGTTGTTGATTGGAAACACTTCTCATTTGGTATAACACGCTCATTATATATTTACATATTTCGTTAGACTCATAGCTTATAATTATTTAAATTATAATTTAAACATCACCTAAACATGCACCAACTTGAAGAATATTTTGGAAAGTAATTAATTATTTTCAAAATGCAGTATTAATTATGATTTTTCGAAAAAAAGAAGAAAAGGTATGATTGTTAACTAAGCAAGATTCTAGTACTATTGTATCTTGCATGGAGCCATCGTTTTTAAAATCGTGTCCTTGCTTCGTCCCAAACCCCTCCCGAGCACAAACTAGTACACCTAAGGTAAGTACTATTATGCCTCTATTTGATAGAAATTAAAATTCAGATTTCAATCTAAATCAAAGTTAACAATTAATTTAACCCTGTATTTTATGAGATCTACAAATTTCAACCGTACATTTCATCAATTTTTATCAAAATTTGATAAAATCTAGTTTTACTCCTCACCAAATAGGGGCTATGTATAGGAAAAATAAAAATCTTGAAACGAGACTTTCATTCCCCGTTTCATTGAAAAACCCTTTTCTGGTTGAGCATGTTATCCCAACTAGGGATAGAATCATCTTGTGGTGAAGTTGGGGATAAGGTATCCCAAGAAAAGGATCCTATTACTTACTAACCAAATAAACATACCCTTCAAATGAATCAACGAGTAGGATTTCCCTCCAAGAAATAAAAGTACGTTAATCTAATATATCTTGCACAAGAATCAAGATTGTTTAACAAATAATTGGAAATTATTTCCAAAAATAGAATAGATGGAATGAGGGTTGACCTGGTCAATGTAGGAAACTAAGATGCGGGATGCCCGAGCAAAGATTTGCACGCATCTCTTTGTTGATATATGGTAATTAAGCTATGAATAGAGAATGTTGGTCTATCTAGTGAGTTAGGATCTCTACACTGCTCAGCACCTTAAATCATGAGCAACAAAAAGAACAGATCCTAACTATTCTCAGGTACCTTCAGGTCTACAATTCACATTCCACATTCCGTTGGAAAGTGTTGAAGGTAAAATACGTTATATAGTTACAATACGTCGTCCTAAAACAAGGTTAGCCATATTGAGTATAAGTGTCACCTTCTTATATTCGTCGTGCTTCAGTTGGAGAACAACTTCACGTGTGTATGATTGTTCGACTTGCAAATAGCACGAATTACCTCATAGCTGGATTCCTCCTCACAGGGAATATTTAGATCAGGAAGCGCAAATTTAGATTTGGAAGCAGCTGGGGTATTCTGACAGCCGTTCGATGGAGAGCGTTGCAGCAAATCATCACTGCCTGATACAATCGAGTGCATGATCGGAGGGTTAGGATTAAAAACTGCCACCTCTTGCTGAATTTGACAGGATATTGTTTCGTGAGGCATGAATGTTCCTCTATCAGGTTCTAGTTGCAATTCAATCTGTTAAGAAAACATCACTTTCCAACATTAGTGCAAAACAGGGACAGGAGAAAAGGCTTAACATATGTACGGAAAAAGCCGAGTGGCGACATACGAGACAATTGCAGCAAACAGAAAAGAAGTTCAACAGTTCAAGCACCATTAAATATTTGCCATGGTTTTATTTGCCACAGATATTAGAAAAGCAAGGTAAATAACCATCTACAACCCAACTTTATCCTGGCCCAGAATAAAAAGAAATAAATCCTCTGGAAAGTTGAAAGCCAAGCTATATATTTAACAGTAATAACTCAGAATCCTTCATGGACAACATTTTGCCTTTGGAAGCTTGGATATTTCTCAAATTATCGCCAAATTAATCTACTAATGAGTGAAGTAATCAATATACAAAAGGACAAAGGAAGAATTAAACAAGGTGATTGCACCTTCATTCTCTTCAAGCTTTCATTAGTATCCCTTTGTTTCTCCAAATTCACGCGGAAGGCTGCTACTTTCTGTCCAGAAAGGGGTGTTATAACACCAATATTCTGGTATGAAAATTACCCTAAAGGAATAAGATGAAATTAGGATACCATTTTCAACTCTCTTCTTTCCTTAAGCAGCAGGTTCTCCTCTTCTTTAAGTTCAGCCAAGGTCTGCAAAATCAAAGCGAGCAAGGTAAATCACTAATGCTCGTGAAGAAAAACGTAGCTGCTAAAATGTCAATGTCAATAACCATATTACTAATTTTCTAGAATCATCCTTTAGTAACGTTATATTTGTCTTATACAAAACAATATAATATAATAAACCTTATCCGACTATCACCCATGTACCCCAGTGAAAATAAATAGCCAGCTTGAATAAAATTGAGTTTCCAAAGGTTAAGAGCAACTTCCAAAAGAAGTGTAGGTAGAAAGTGTCTTGCCAAATTCAATTGTTTGATAGGGAATTCCAAGTCTGCTGATGATGGTCAATGAAACGTGCTGGTAATTATAACAATTAGGCAAGAAATGTGTTGAAACTCCAAATGGTCAAGGACGTCAAATATTGGATTGACAAAAATAGCCACGTGTTGAAAGACAGAGGTACACTTAATAAGATTCAATGATCATCACCTTCTTCTTTCTTGACCTCTTCTTATTGTTTTGTTCACTAGTACCATTAATCTGCAAGAGAAAATTAAAACAAAAAATAAGCATGCAATAAATGCCGATTCAGTTTCTTGGTAGCTGTGAATCATTGCGGACGAACAGCAACTATAAATAACGACATAAATCAACATAGATGCACCAGAGCCCACAAAATATTATGAGATGGCAAAATACTCTGATCAATGACATTTCTCATATATCAAAGCCATAGCTTTTTCCATTTCACAGAAGAAGCGCCACTGTCTATATGGCATTACCAGATATCAATCATTAGTGAACAATGAACTCATCACAGGTAACTGGATTCTAACAAATAAACTATGTGAATCTTAGATAAAAACAGGTAACTGCGAGTAGGACAATATATAACTTTCATCATATTCTAGGAAACAAGATATTTCACTATAGATGGTTAGGTTTAGAGTACTTGATAAGCAACAAGCCCTCTGCTTCTTTCGGTGCACGAGAATCCTGATAATTTAATTCATTAGGAAAGTAAACATAAAGTTCACAACCCGTTCACAATCTGCACAAGGTGACTGGAAGAGCTATTGAACTAGACCAATAACATGGAGAGAAAATTTGAACAGGAAATGATTGGTGTACAGGGAAAGGTTGACAGAACTTCTACCGACACCTCACATTTGGGGGGTTGGGGTGGGTGGGTTAATTTTTTGACATTGTTTATTCAGTGGCAAAAACGATTGGTGTACAAAAATTTTCCTGCAAAAAACACACAAAAGTGTGGGTCCCACTGAATAAACAATGTCAAAAAATTAACCCTCCCACCCCCCTCCCCAAATGTGAGGTGTGGGTCTCCTGAATAAACAATATCAAAAAATTAACCCTCCCGAGCGTGAGGTGTCGGTAAGTGTTCTGTCAAACCCTACTTATACACCAATCATTTCCCTTCAAATTTGAAAGGTAACTGTGTGTGTGTGTGTGTACTTTTAAGTAGAAAAAGTTTTAAATTTTGATCAATACGTGTCAGCTTAAGACAAATAGTTTCGTGACAAATGTCCCTCCACTTAACTACAAAGTTAGTAGGCAATTCAGCTCCTCACAGATTTTGCACCAAAGCACACTTTCTACACATGCCATTTCAAACCTTCAACTACGTTCCAAGATTTTGTCCAAAATCAACTTTCTTGGTAAACACTATAAAGGAATCTTAAAATAGAAGGGGGAAAAAATCAAAATCCCCCTCCATTAGACCCTATCATGCATAGAGATTACACCCCTTTAAATCCCTTTTACACAAAAAATAAAAAAGTTATTCGCCATATTTTGACTTTGTCAGAAGATAGAAAAAATGGAACAAAGCTCACACGGTTTTTGTCACATTGGGAGGTGCCTCGGAGTGTTCGTTTTGTGTACAGATGGCAATAGACGGTTGGTGCATAAAGACAAGCAGATAATTGCGGTACAAGTTGCTCCATGTCACAGTAGATTGCTCCCCATAACGAATAATTTTTTTATTATAAAGTGCACAACCACTAACAACACTCCACCAAACCTATTTGCCACGAAAACACGCCACTCCTTAAACCCGGCAACCACACCCATCCCCCCCCCCCCCATCCAAAAA